CATTTTAAGGCACTTTGAAAATGAGAAGAGGTACAGCCTTTTGACCACTGCTGCAGAGAATACAGGAGTGACTCTGGAATTAGTACAGAATTCAGCTGCTAAGGGCAACAGAAGAGCACATCACATAGGTCTCATAATATTCAGATTCTTCCTTGTTTTCTTAAATCACAGACATTTGACCTTCTTCAGAGCCTACAACCTAGCCTGGTGCTAAGCTATCATTTAAAACTTCTATGCAGTGAGAACCAATTGTTAGTATAATTGCTGACACACCAAATCCAAATTACTTTCCAATTCTAATTAAATACCAATGTAAAAAATATTCTTATTTCTAACTAAGTACAGAGCATCACTATAACTGTAACACTTAACACACTTGAGCTCACAAAACCTCTTTCCCCATTTTAAACCTTACGGATACAGAGAAGTCAAGGAAGGCATACAACATATCTGCAAGCCATATCCAGAAGCATGTATAGGAACTTAGTATGGGATAGAAGCAATGAATGCATCAAGCAGAGATCACAAGACTATCTAGACCCAAGGCGAGACTAAATCTGTGGCATCCAGAAAAGCGACAATATATTGGCACACCTTCAACCTGATATTTTTCACACATTCATTAAAGATGTATTTTATGGGGCAAATTATTTTATATTAATTTAAAAAAACACAGAAAAAGGTTCATTTATTAATTCACTCCTAAGCTGAAACACAGTCACTGTTTTGATAAAGACCAGAAAATTTCTTTAATTCTTGTTTTGTCTTGACATTTATTCAGTGATTTTTTTTTTAGACCTCTCCCAACTTCTTGGGAGAAATACATAAGAAATTAAAATTGGCAATATTCAAGGATAAAGGATTACATATAGAAAATGTAGATCACATTTCTGATTTATTTTAGTGATATCTTAGTGCACCTTACAGTATGTCCCCCAACTCACCTCTGGTTAGATAGTACAGAATAAGAGGGAAGATGCAAAGATGAAGCTGAAAAAGTCCACAAAGAGTCTAGAAAATAGACCCTTTGGAAGTCATGAGAAGGAATATGGACTGTACCATAAGGGAAATGAAGAACTGAAAGGATTTAAGCAAAAGAACATCAGGCTCAGATTTACCTATTTCCAAGTTCATTCTAATTACTGTTTTTGAGTAAAGATGAGTGGAGTGAGTAGGGCAGGGTAAAGATTCAAAAACAAAGTAATAGCTATAAGGCAGAATAGTATATATTTGAATGAGGAGCGACAACAGAACAGACTCAAATGAAGAGAGAGGAGTAATTAAGAACATGTCTTCATGCTCAGGCTTGATCAATTGGTAATTGAGGATACCATGCACTGACAGAGGGTATAAAGGGCCAAACACATTTGGAATGAAAAACCTTAAGTTCAATTTTATACATATTGAGCTTTGTACTTACAGGACATTGAAATAAAGGTGTTTATTAATATTCCTGAGATTAGGAGAAAGATCTGAAATGAAAACAGATGGAGGGTATCCTCAGAAAATGGAATCCACAGGATGGTAAAAATTTCTAGGTTAAATATATTAAGCAGAAATACTCAAAAAACCTAGGGAAGAGCCCTGAGCATCTCACACTAAATGGTCTGAAAAAAGCTGAGGAGAAACCTCAATGATAATGGAAGAAAAGGAAGACCATGGCTTCAAGGAACCACAAAGTGATCCACATGTACAATGCTAAAAAAAAAAAAAAAAACAGAGAGGTATCCATTAAACTATCAAGAAGTTGTTTATGAACTTGTTGGGGAAGGTTTTAGTAAAAATTAATCCCAGCTGAAGCACTTACAAGCCATGTGAATTCATGCCAGGCACCTGATCAAATCTCACTTTCTTCACCTGTGAAAGAAAAAAATGCCTATCCTAACTACCTCGTGGTTTTGTTATGAGCATGAAATATCATAATATGTATGAAAGTCCTATATAAAATTTAAACAAAGCATATAAATTAGCATTATTTCAAACATATTGTTCTGAATAATGTTCCCCAAAATTGGTCCTCTTCTGTTCCACCCACATGGCAAGCTGACCTGCACCAGTCAATGTAATTTACCAACAGAAAGGCAAAAGCTTTAAGAAAAAAAATGCATAGTTCAACCTATTCTCTATTTCCTGCCACTATCCATTATAGAAGCATGTTTCAAAACAAACCTTTCATAAGCCTAGGTCCTTATATACTGTGACAACAGCCCTTTGGCTAACTCATGATGGCAGGTAATATGGGGACAATTAAATGTTGTTTTAAAGCACTAGGATTTTGAAATTATGACAAAAAAACTGCAGCGTAAACTGGCAGGTTAAAAAACAAATGCAAAAGAGCCAAGTGGAAATGTCATATTAAGTAGCCAATCCATGAGACAATCACGGAGGTACTAATCATGTACTAATTTTTATTTTATAGCACAGAATAACTCACTAATCCTCCACATTTCAGAATTCTTAACAGAGAAGGTGAAAAGAAAAACAAACAGATCTAACCCAATTTCAAATGAGGAAATGCTGGCTGGACAAGGATGATGGTCCATCAATGAGAAGAAATTGCTCACTCTTCACCATTCTTATATATTGTTGTTAGTACCTCAATTTTTCTTTGCTCCTTAGTAAGCATACACTGGACTTAAATGGTCAATTGTTAGTATATCTGTGTTAAGCCAAGAACACACTGCCCAAGTGGGTTACTAGGAATGAAGAGGAAATATAACAAATGATTTAGTCTATTTGTACTGCTACTACAAAATACCTGAAACTTGATAATTTATTAAAAAACAGAAATTTATTTTCTCACAGTTCTGGAGACTGGAACATGTAAGAACAAGAGATCAGCAGGTTCTGCTGTCAGGGAAGTAGTGTTCTCTGCTTCCAAGAAGGCACCTTGTTGCTGCACCCTCCAAAGGAAAGGAATGCTGTGTCCTTACATGATTGAAGGGCAAAAGGAGGAAAAGCTGGAGGAAGGCTTTTTTTTTTTTTTAAAGGGCCTTAATCCCATTCACAAGGAAGGAGTCCTTATGACCTCATCGCATACTAATAAAAGTCCCACCTGTTTTTACATCACATTGGCAACACTGAATATTGGAAGGGACACATTCTAACAGATCAATAAGTAGAACAACCAGACTTTGAAGGAGGAATTTTCTTATTCTTCCACTATTAACAATTTAAAGTTACCAATGCCAAATTGCTACTTGCTATGCCTAAATGGAACATGTTTAATACAAAATGGCAATTACTCAACCTAAAACAAAAGCAGAATCCAGGTCAGAGTGAGGCTTATAAGGACCCATTGGACCAGTTCTTTTTACCAAGAACCCTTATTTATTTTGGCCTTTGTCCTCCTCATTAGTTTTAACAAACCATGAGAGATGATTATAATTACTTCAATCCCAAAGGAGTTTCATGAAAGAAACCCTTGACAAAAGAAGTTTGTTCCTGACCATTTAAAATGGGAGGACAGAGAGGAAAGACATTCCCCATGTTTTCTTTTAGGGGGAAAAAGAATTCTGCCAATGCTGGGGATTAAACCCAGGGCCTTGGGCATGCCAAAACAACACTCTATCAATGAACTATACCCTCAGACCCTAGAATGTCTTAAGGAACAACTTATAAAACAAAGTCTACATTTTTTAATCACCTTCTTTTACCTTTTTTTTTTTCTTTTTAACTATTTGTAAATTGAAACCAGTCTTCAACTCTAAAGATTATGTGCACTCTTTGAGAGCCTATACTGCATATTCTGAAAGCAATTTCAGGGGACTGCTCCCCGTTGCTTTTATATAAAGGCATAATCATCTGATGAGTTCAACAGCTCAACAAGGCTACTTTCAAGGGGGCTTATTCATTACGATATAAAAACTCCAGAATGAGATGTGTACAACTTCAGTCTCCTTACAATCTCTAGAGTAGCTTTTTTGCTCATGAGTTTCTTACTGTGATTAGACTTAACTCAGGTAATATGGTGGCGATGCTGAGACTGTGAGCTTGTTAAAACTCACAATCAACCCATTTTGATTACTGTCAATGCTGCTTCACGTCACCAACGTGCTAGATGTTTCCTATGACTTAAATTACTTGTGTATATGCTGTTGCAAGTTTTCATCTTGCAGTGGCTCTGCTTAAAGAGCAGAAACCACTAAATAACAATAGGCTTACCTCACAAATGAACGTAACTACTATTCTAATTTTACAAAGGAGACCTTTTGAATTTGGCTGATTAGAATTACTAAATTCTACTTATTTGTGGGAAACCAATGAAATAGGATAAGCATGACGCTATATTAAAACATCCTGAATGGACCCCAAGAAGTCTGGAGGCAGTGTGAAGCATGACGAGTGTGCTGTACAATCACTATCAATGTTTATCCAAGAGTTAAAAAGTGATCAAGATAGGCTTGAGCTTCCCTAAGAAGTGGAATAGTAACGGGAAAATCTATAGTATCTTTCTTTGAAAAATCCTCTTGGAGATAAAATCCCAATATTTGCTATGAAGTGAACTAGAAGGTTTTAAATACGCAATTACACAAATCGCGAGTCGGGTCCGCACTCGTTCGGAGGAACAAGCGGGCGGTTAACAAAATGAGGAAACCCGCAGCACAGGGGGAAAGGAGCGCTGGAAGCCAAACACGTCCGCTATGGCGCAAGCCGCTGACTGGAAAGGGGGGAGACGGGTGAAGTTCCTTTGGAGCTTCAGCATCCACTCCCAGGGTCAGGACGGTCACGCACAACTTGGGGAAACCACTAAAGGCCATAACCAGAGCGTACAGGATACCACGCCCACCAAGCTTCCTGCGGGCGGAGGACGTGCGGAGACCACGGGAGGGAGGGAGGGAGGGAGGGAGGGAGGGAAGGAGGGAGGGAGGGGCGGGGAGCGGCGAAGACTGGAGCGAGGCAGGGCAGCACGCGCACGCATGCGCGCACGGGAAGGGTGGCGGCGGCTGGAACGCCGAGCCAGCTCCCGGAAGGCGGGCTGCGGGTGGGTGGCATGTTACCTGCGCTGGAAGTCCTCGGCGAAGGGTTTCAGGTACGGGTCAACCTCCAGGAGTCGGGCCAGTTCAGGCACGTCCGCTAAGGCGGCAGCCAGCGCCGCTTCGGAGCCCTTGGCCGGAGCCGCGGGAGTTGCCGAACCCGCAGGAGCCGCCATCTTCCGCCGAGGCCCGAGTAGCCGAGGCCCGAGAGGGTCGAGTGGGGCCTGCGCGAGAGCGCGAGCTCAGGCCGAGAGAAAGGCTACGAGGGCGGAGCTGAAGGCGAGCCTAGGCGAGCAGCAGCGGCCCGGGGCCCTTTATAGCTGCAGAGTGCGGCCGCCGGCCCGTTCCCCCCCCCCCCCCCCCGCCAACGGGGAGGGGCAGGGCCCGAGCAGGTGGTCTCTGGATGCGCGCCCGGAGCGGATAGGAGGTGCCCAGCCTCTCCGCCCACTCACGCGGCTCGCACCTGGAGCCTGCGAGGACTTACCCTTTTCTCCCCAATCTCTTCTCCGCTGGCTAAGGCCACCCCAGAAGGCGGGTCACACGCCGACTTGGCTCAGCCTTGTCCTTCCTTACCTTTACCCAGTTTGGGGTTCCGGAGCAGGCCCTTCGCTTTTTTTCTTTGAGCAGCACAACTGAGTGTTCCCTTCAACTGGATACTGTGAATATGGTTTTCTTTAAAGAGACCTTCCTTCTCTAATTTCTGAGAATTTCTTGTTGAGGCAGTTTCAAACAAATCAGCTCAATTCACGGGGAGAGGAACAGTCAAGTGGAGATAGGGCTGTCCTTAAGTTTGTCATGTATCCTGAATTTAACCAAGAGAGGGTATTTTAGGATCCCCCTCATAATTTGGTGTTCTGAGGCTGTTGTCTGAAACCATGACAAGAACTTTTCCCATTCCCCATGGGCCAAAATAGAAAAAGGCATTTGTCTTTGATAATAGATGTACAAGATTTGCAGTGATTAAGTTTTGATGAGGTATGACCTGGAGAATTCCACTCTTGACAATAACAATGATAAAGCAAGAAATCTCTCTTTTGGCTTAAGTTTGGAAGTGGAAAGTTCCTTCTGTTTTTTTTTTCCTTTCCTATTAAGTGACTGACTTTTGGTTCAGTGATGCTTTTTCAGGAATACAAAATTGGACACCAGAAGAATTGGACCCAGCAACTCAGGAAGTTTTACCTGAAAACTGGACAGGCTTGAAAATTTCTCAGCCAATGCAAATTCTAGCCTTGGGCCTCAAGTTTTGAAATATCCAAAATGAGTTTTTGTGAAGATTAATAAAGTCTTGAAAAATATAGGTAGTAACAGAGGACCTGAATGTGAATGATTAGAGGGCTTGGACAACTTTAAAGCATATCTTTTTTTGTCCATACAGAGGATAAAGAATATGCAAATGTTTGTAAAATACAAAACACACAAACTTAAAGTTTGTAAACTGCAAACTTAATGCCCCCTAACAAGGCTTGCATAATCTAAAACAACTATCTCCAAAACAACCTAAAATCTGTCGTATCCTTTCTGCCATCCTGACTACCTTTCTAGATCTTTTCTCATTGTTCCCCAGCTTCCCTATGGTGTGGTCACATTGACTTTTCTGGAACTCACTGAACTCTGCAGCCTCTGAGATCATTTACTTGCTGTTTTTTCTGTTGTGAAATCTCTTGCCTGAGCTCTGTGGCTAGTCCTTCCCAATATTCATTCAGGTCAAATAACAAATGTCAGTTTATCACTGAGAGTCTTTTCATTCTGTTGTCTAAATAGATTCCACAAAATCCTTTATTTCAACTCATTCTCTTCTGTACAACTGTTTACAAAATTTATGTGTTTTTTATTTATTAATCTACTTTAGAAGATGAGCTCCACAAGAGCAGAAACCTAGTCTATTTTGTTCTCCATTCAGTACAGTTTTTGAAGAGTGCCAGTCACCTACTCAGGTGTAGATAAGCAGTGAACACAAGTCCTAGTTGAAATTCTGATGGTGTATGGAACACCAGCATTAATATTGAGCAAACAGTTCTAGTTTAAGCCTGATGCTCAAGGAATACTATTCAGAACTGAATTTAAACTGAAATGTAGTGACAAGAAGGAAGTAGCCATAAAAGGAAGAGCATTTGGGGCAAAAAAAAAAAAAAAAATAAAAAAAAAAGAAATTGAGTTAAAAAAAAAAAAAAAAAAAAAAATTGCATAATAAGGAAATTGAGTTGATCTAATCAGAAAGAAAAGAAGGAAAGAAAAAACTAGTCACCTGATATATAGTGAGAAGAGTGAGTATCAGGAATTTAACAAGAGATATATATGCATTTGATCCTATTGGCCCTAAATTTATTGGAGGTTTTTGAGCAGGAAATGGATAAGATCTGATTTATATCCTTTTAATATTCTCTATAAGACAAATGGATTATTATGATAGAAGAATGGAAGTAGAAAATTAGGAGGCTACTATAATGCCTAAAGGAAAAGATGATGGCTTGGTCTAGGGTAGTAGAGAAAAAGATGGAAAAAGAGTGAGCTGGGCAGGATGGCACATGCCTGTAATCCCAGTAGCTTGGGAGGTTGAGGCAAGAGGATAGAGAATTCAAAGCCAGCCTCAGCAACTCAGCAAAGTTCTATGCAACTTCATCAGATCCTAGCTCTAAATAAAACATTAAAAAGAGTTAGGGCTGGGGCTCAGTAGTAAAGTGCCCCTGGGTTCAATCCCTTGTGGTGGGGGGGGTGGGGGGAAGAGAGCTTCAATGTATGATATGATGAATGCCTAAACTATTGTGTAGTCATTTATCGTTTGTATTAGTTCCCTAAGGGTGGAGCAATAAAGTACCACCAATGTATCCTTTCACTTTAGTTCTGGAAGATAAAAGTATGAAGTCATGGTGTCAGTTTGTCAGGTTTGGTTCCTTCTGGGTACCCTAAAGGAGAATTGTTCTATGCTTTCCCAGCTTGTGATATAATGTCCTGCAGTCTTTGGTACACAGTTGCATCAGTGCAGTCTCTGCTTCCATAGTCACATGGCATTCTCCCTGTATCCCCATCTTTGCATATGGTGTTCATTAAAGTTTGTATCTGCAAAGTCTCCCAAGGCCCAAGTTTGGCCCTCAACATGGAACTATTGGGAATTGGCGGTCACTTTAAGATGTGAGGCCTAATTGGAAGTCTGGGTCATTGGGAGCATGCCCTTGAAAAGTATAATAGGATCCCAGCACCAGCTTTATCTCTTTTGTTCCCTGACAATTAGGTGAGTTGTTTAGTTCCACCACATGTTCCTGCCAAAATGTGCAGGCTCACCACAGTCATAAAAACAACAGGGCCAATTGATAATGGACTGAAATCTTGAAAACTGAAACCAAAATAAACATTTTCTCTTTATGAGAAGATTATGTGAGGTATTTATTATAGTGGCAGCTGCCTAACATAGTGTCCTTTTTATAAGGTCACTGACTGCATTAGATTGGGGAGCTGCTTTATTCCAATATGACCTCAACTCATTATACATTCAGTGATCCTTAATTCCAAAAGATTAGGGTTTCAGTATATCTTTGAGGTAACTGCTGCTTTTTGATATGTTTCATGTTACTCAGAAGTTCTGTTGGTTCTATTTATGTGTTCTCACTAGTCAGGAATATTTTGTCAGTTTTTGTTTCCCGGTAATTTACATTATAAAATTAAACGTTATTGATACCCTCTATAACACATATAAACCTTAAAAACTTTGTGCCAAGTCAAAGAGGCCACTCATACAAAAACCACAAATTATATGATAATATTTATATGAAATATGCAGAATATGCAAGTCTGTAGAAACAGAAGGTAAGAGTATTGGCTTCGTAGGGCTGAAAAAAAATGAAGAGTAGCTGCTAATAGATATGAGGCTTCTTCTTGTGCTAATGAAAAATTTCAAACTTGTGGTTATGGTTGTTCAGTTTTATGAATATACTAATTATACTGAGTTGTACACTTTGAATGTATGAATTGTCTGATATATGAATTAAATTTCAATAAAGCTATTTTAAAATACCAAAAAAAAAAAGAGTTTTAGAACATATGATAATATTGGATATTCTTTTTTAAAGTAGATGTTTCCCCAGTTGAACATTATTCAGAAAAATAAAGGAAAATGAAAGGACTAAGAACAAAGTCTGGAAAGACAAGTGAAAAGGGAAGTAATTTCTAAAAACAAGGAGTGGTCATGAATGAAAAATTGGCATCTGAAAACACAAAGGAGAAAAAGAATGTGATCGGTAATAGCACTCATGTCTTTAATAATGTCATTGAAATTGATCCAAGTCCCATGGTTTCATCATTAACCTCATGTTTGTCTTCACATGGTCCTGAAATGGCTACCATAGATCTAAGCATCGTTCTCTAATAAGGCCATATAAAAAGGAAAGAAAAATGAAGGTGTATCCCATGTGTGTTTACCAAGAGGAAAACTTTGCATATGTTGATCACACACCCCTTTTATCTCTTTAGCCACCACTAGATTAGATGCCTATCACAAAACCATTGGCATAAAAGAATATATCTATCATAGTTTAAGCTTTACTAAACTTCAACTAATTGTGATTCACTGTTTAAATTGTGCTCCCCATTAGCAAATTATATTCAACATATTATTAAAATGGTGATTTTATTCACATTGAAGAAAAATTATGGTTAATCAACAAACTGTTACATCTTCCTTACTATTCCCCCTAAATCCAACTACCCATGAAACTTGCCAGTGCCAGGGCTGGGGTTGTGGCTTTAGTGGCAGAGCACTTGCCTAGCACGTGTGAGGCACTGGATTTGATTCTCAGCACCACATACAAATAAATAAATAAAATTAAGATCCATTGACAACTAAAATAAATGTGTATGTATTTATATAAAGAAATATATATATACATATTTCCTTATATAAATATATATATATAAAAGAAACTTGCCAGTGCCGTTAACTAACAGGTGATTTTGCCATTTTGTATAACAGAAACCCGTCCTGAAATCAACACCATAAATATGGAGACTCTTTACAGATTTCTCCTATCTCAAACCAAGAAGGCAATTTAGAGCATACACTGAAGACAGAGCCTTTTTCCTTTTTACAAAGTTGCAACCTTCTCTTCATCTATGAGTCCTTAGGAATGTGTGCACCGAGAGAAAGCATCTTTTTCCTGATCCATGCAGGAACATTGTATGAGAATACTAGCCCTTCCCTCAGTTTGTCCACCCACACTACTACCCCCATCAATAATGCATCAATAATACTCTTCATTGTTCATTTCTAAGTTCTTGAGATAGTTTCTGTTTTATGCACTGTGGACTATGTAGTGGATGTGTGGAGACATGGTGAGATAGGAGAAAAAAATAAAACACAAATAGATTCCTGATTAATGGGGAAAGCACAGATGAGACTGGACATCAAACACCTGATATAGCGGTACATGTCCCAATCATTAGTTTATGTTTGGCATTGCTTAATAATCTGAGTGTAAGGTCAAAGAGTAAATATTTGAATGAAGCTAAGATTGGAGATTGATAGGGTAAGTAGAGGTCAGCAAGGCTGAGAACTTCTGGTGTTAGTGAGGATATCAAAGTTGCTTATTAGCC